AGAAATCATGTTCATGGATGAGCTAATGTATTAATGATTTATTAACGTAGTAGAATGAAGCAGAGTGAGGCTGAAAGCCATCGAAGCGAAACGAGGCCTCTGAGCGAGCGTGACACACGGCTCGAAAGCAGCAGAGCTTTTATTATGCCACAGTCGACCGCTTCCACTCCTTCCGGTCGTGCGTATGTGGGGGGAAAAAAGCAGCGCTGTTTTATCATACTAGATGCATTTGAAAGTTCTGTTATTATGCTACTCTGTGCGGTCATCACCGGTCTAATTAAACGCACAACATATTAAAGCATCTTTGGTGTTTCCATGTTTTCTACAAAACAAAATCGGAAATCGAGGGGTTATGACGTCATTGGCAGGCGACACAATGACACTATGGACACGGTCCGTGTCACTAGTTAAAATTTAAACATTCTTCGAAACATTTGGGATAATGTAAGTACACAAGTACAAAATATATAACACTGTTCTAGTGGTTTTTGGATATTTTAATGAAAAAATCTTACATATTGTGCCTTTAATTCATTAGTTTGGTAAATGGAAAAACAGCTACTTTTGCTTTTGCATGAACTGAACTAATTTTATGCAGCGCTCTAATTTAAACTATTTGTTTGCCCTTTTTTTATGTCACCTTCTTTTACACCAAAAATCTTTGATAAAGGCGCATGTCATGTTGGTTGCAGGGGTAGCATGCAACTAAACACTGCTCATTTCAAGTCATTCCATGTTTATTTAGATTTGGACTTACCCAAAAGAGGTGTAGGCCGAGTGGGCGAGTTGTTTGCTCTGTAATTAGCCCATCTGTTTCCACCAGTTCGACCCATTCAGGCCAATTTGTGGACCTGATGTGAATATGTTAGGCTGACAGACTGAGAAATCATTCATTCACAGCCAAAGAGACACTTTTCATCAGAAATACTGTGTTCCACCTCATTTTCACTTTGTTTTAGGACCTCATTGAGAACACAATGAGATCAAAGGAGCCTTCTGAGACTTCATCTGTGTCACTTTTTACTGCTTTACTCGCAATTTGATTGCATGTTTTGTAATAGCTCTTATCAATTATTGTTAGATACACTTTTACATCATTATGAACTTTCCAATGCAGAATAAACAAAAACGGTTAACATCTGCACCAGGCTTATTGATGAGGATACAACAAGGGCTTCCCACAGGAATCTTCCATATTCCATTTGCCGTTCATGAATAATACATGGAGCCCATAGACACTCATTAATCTTACAGTAGTTATTCTCCAATCCCTGCAAAATCATCAGCAGCACGTAAACACAGTCATGCAGAAGCTACTCAGAAACCCAGCCAGGAGTATGAGTTGTGGGCCTCAGTCGTAATTTAGAGTGTTATCTTGTCAGAAAAGTGACTCTCCTCAATTAATTACGACAGCAGAATGGGACAAAAGCAGTCACTGGGAAGTCGCATCCAAGCGTGGGTGACGAAAACCTGCCTTTCTCTGCATCCCTTGTTGATCACGGATCCTGGCGACTTTCCAGATCCCCACAAATCCTGGTGATCATTGAGATGCCACTGCAGCCCTGCCTTAATTTGTCAGCAGACTCTTGTTTTTTCTGTTTTCCTCTGTAGTGAGATGTATTTCCCTCAGCGTGTCTTCCAATAGCCCACCTTACTCATCCTCCTCTGTTGACTGCTCAGGCATATAGACTCCTGGACAGGTGCAGGAAGCAGACAAGACAGATGGCCCAGAAAACTTGAGGAACTTTGTTTTCTCTCTCTCTCTCATTCTCTCTCTATCCCTCTTCTTATTTTATTTTTTTAAACGAGTTCCTTGCAAACACTGATGCTTCCAGATGCTCTCATTTGTAGATTAATGTCAGGGGGCTGCAAGGTGAATCTCAATAGACCTTCCTGTGATCGGCATCAGAAAGCTTTGTTCACCTCTAATGCAAACATAACCAACCCTGAGGATTCGCCAGATCTTTGGGGTCTAAGTTTTGCATGTTCTCCCAAGAATGTCAGCGGTCCATGTGGAGAAATCCGTCTAATCTGACTTTGTTCTGTATTTTTAGGTATTTTTATCTCATTAGTAACATCAAAGTTAGCTGATTGTTTGCGATGTGCATGACCTTTTTGGTGTAAAAACTATCATTTGGTTAATGAGGTTAGGTTGATAGGTTTTTCTCCAGTTAATGGTCCTTATGTTCAGCATTTAAACGTGACATGAGATTACCTTTCACACATATGACATTAGATCACACTCAGTGACTTTATTTTTGAGTTTAATTTAGTTTGACCTTTTTTTTATCCAGAGCAATGCAGTACACAGATCTCAATACAGTATGAGGTTAAGTGTCTCCCTCGGGGGCATAATGGTTATTTCAGGAGCTCTCCAGCTCAGGTCAGTTATAATTAAAGCATTATTCAGACAGGATTATTTTTTAGAAATTATGTTGTGTTACGGTTAATAACAGAGGTCATTACATAACATGCTTATTTAGACAGGATTGGGATCACAGTATATCGGCACCATGTTGATTACTGGATGCAAGAGAGATTTTAGCGTATCATTATCGGTCAATATTGAATATACATCAGCCAATATTGTGCACACTTATTTTCCCCTAATTTTACTTTTAGATTACCTTTGCCCCCATGTTAAGCTCACATTAATATATTTTCATTTTAGCTTTAGGTTTAATTATTTATTTATCTATTTATTATTCATTTATTTTAGTGTTTTTATTTTTTATTTTTTATTGTGAATTCAGTGCACCTAGAAAACAATATGACCATATATTTTTAGTTAAATAATTATAACTCTATATCATTTAAAAATATGTTCTTAATCAAAGTTGGAAGAGATTCATGTGGAATAAATTAAAGTATTAATTTATATGATTAGGATGCATTAAGTTGATCAAAAAGGACATTAAAGACATCTATAAAAAAAATACAGTTTCCAAGCAAATAAAAACTGTTTTCAACATTGATAATAATAATAAATGTTTCTTAAGCACCCATTCAACCATATTGGAATGATTTCTTAAGGATCATGTGAGACTGAAAACTGGAGTAATGGCTGCTAAACATTCACTTTTGCCATCACAGGAATACATTACATTTGAAAATATATTAAAATAGAAAACAATTTTAAAATAGTAAGTTCATAGTATAATATTTTTTACTGTGTTTTCGATTGAACATTTCAGTCATTTTATTTATCTTAAATCTTAATAAACATATATCAGTGTCATTATGGTCATAACATCTCTTTTGACATATAACATCTTTGCTGTGTGTTTTGTTTGTTTAGGTTATTTTTTAAGAACCAGAGCATCTCCTGTCCAGCGCTCATTCCAGGGCTGCATGCAGCTCATTCAGGTGGACGATCAGCTGGCTGACCTAACCACAGTAGAGCAGGGAAGGATGGGAGCCTTTGAGAACATCAGCCTGGACATGTGTGCCATCATTGACAGGTTAGAACCAATCCTTCTTCACTTGCCCTGCCTTTCAACAAACACTGGCTGAAACAGTGATTATCAGGTGCAACAGACTGAGACTGTGGCTTTATCCCCACCGGCGGCATCTGCCCTGGGGGCAGGATCCATCGCGCTTTACCTGCTCTCCCTGGAGATGACTTCTTCATTCCTCGACTTCAATGGCAAATGAGAAGTTTAATCAGAGAGCAGATGCTGTGCGAGAACAGGATACAGGCTCTTGGTTGTTATCTTTAGAATGATTTGACATACTTTCACTCTCCAAGCGTTTTTTGTTTGTTGCCACATTTGTGTGGATAAAACAGAGGCAAATCCCATTAATGGAGTTAATTGATGATATAAAACAAAAGAAACCATATAGGTCGTCATCCGGGCATTTTTGCATCTCATTTGTACTGCTTTTGACCATGTACAGGTGCATCTCAATAAATTAGAATGTCGTGGAAAAGTTCATTTATTGCAGTAATTCAACTCAAATTGTGAAACTCGTGTATTAAATGCACTGGCCACTGTCAAAGAAACCTGGGCTTCCATACCACCTCAGCAGTGCCACAAACTGATCACCTCCATGCCACGCCGAATTGAGGCAGTAATTAAAGCAAAAGGAGCCCTACCAAGTATTGAGTACATGTACAGTAAATTAACATACTTTCCAGAAGGCCAACAATTCACTAAAAATGTTTTTTTTATTGGTCTTATGAAGTATTCTAATTTGTTGAGATAGTGAATTGGTGGGTTTTTGTTAAATGTGAGCCAAAATCATCACAATTAAAAGAACCAAAGACTTAAACTACTTCAGTCTGTGTGCATTGAATTTATTTAATACACGAGTTTCACAATTTGAGTTGAATTACTGAAATAAATGAACTTTTCCACGACATTCTAATTTATTGAGATGCACCTGTGTATAGTAGGGAACTTGACAAAAAACTTCAACAGAACTTTAAAACAAAATCTGTATAAAGACTTCAAAATTTAATACATATGAACATAAAACCAACTAAATCCCATTATGATGTGCACAACACAACCAAATGGGCAAAGTAAATGAAACTTGAAAAAAACAAAAAAGCAATGTTTTTGAAAACACTTCATTTCAAGATAGACATATTGCCTGCCACATTTGTATCTTTAATGTTTTAATGAAATAATGCCTCATCGCCCAGGCAGGAGGATTCCCAAGCAGATGTGAGGGCTAATGTGTTCATGTATTGTGCAAGAAAACAGTCATTTGCCTTCAAATTACAGACAATTAAGGGTCAAGCAGCTTGTTTTTAATTATGACTTATCAGATTAGTCTTTATCGTACTTTAACATCAACCTGACCCTTCAAATAGTTAAACTGAATCACCTGTTCATTGATGATATAATTCTGTTTTTTGTTGTTGTTTTTTCATTAGCATCATTGCACAGCTGGAGACAGATCTGATGTTGGCTTGGTAATTTTTCATGTATCTTGTTTGATGGTAATTCAGTTCTATTGAGATGAAGGAAGCATATACAGAGACTTCCCTAGGAAAAATGCCCATTACTGCAGTGTCCCATAGTGGGACGTATTCACTACACAGTTTCGCCTCTTTTCCATGCGTACGTTTTAAAACAAAAATGTGTCTCATTCACTAATCGGCCTTGATTTAATCAGGATCTCTGTCAGCGGCACTGAAATTAAATTAAGTGTCATTCCTTTTAGCAGAATCACAACTCCTTTCCATGTAAATTGGTCTCATTATACAGTAGGTTATGCCTTTTGCCACCATTAACACGTCAAACTGCGAAAAGCAGGCAGTGAATAAAAAAAAAAACTCAAGGACTGGAGTCATATTTTATAAAAGTTCAACTTTTAACTTGGATGCTGTGCTGCGAAATATGCAACAGTCAAACACATCTGTCTAGTGCATGTTTACATAGAAAAACAATGGAAAACAGTGCAGTGGAATTCAAAAAGGTGTTTAGTGTGAACGGCCCCTAAGCATTTTAAAGAACCTCTTCAAGTGTCGCATATCACAGTCTTCTGCTTCTTCCTCTGTAACTTAGGGCTTGGAACTTGCCTGCTAGATTTGGAATTGCCTACATGCTGTCATAGCACTTTGTAACTATTTTACAATTGATTAATTTATATGAATTTATGTGATCTCATTTGAACATTTTTGTAAGAGCTGCTTAAGCCCCACTGATGGTTAGGTTTTGAGGGTGAACCTACTTTTACATTATTATGTACTTTTTTCTAAAAATCTTATGTTTCTGTTTGGATCACATTGTACAAATTCTTACAAAATGATGGTTAGGTTTAAGGGGTAAAGCTTCATGCATATATATAAATACATATTCTGAATGGATAACATTGTACAAATGCGATTCCATATAAATCTCGTTGTACGGATTCATACAAAATTGCTACCTCATAAAATATCAGTGTTTTCTCATGAGTTTGAAATTACCTATTGTGCTTAGAAAATCTCAGGTTAAACGGCACTTGACTTGACATTAATGCCCTCCTACGTTAAGTGCAAAGAATAGCTAGTTAATAAATAACTATTTGCTTTCTTTGTTCGTTTGCTCATTTATACATTTATGTTTGCAGCTCATTTATTTCGCTCCTTACTGATAAAGACCCGCATATGGAGGCATTGTTTATATTCCATTAGATTCCTTACAACTCAGTTAGAAGCTTAAGCTCCACTTTTAATTGTGTGTAAAGATGCATTGTTCTTTAATGCGTCTCATTAGCCTTACAGCTCAGGGCTGAGTACATTCTCAACATGATTTAAAGACAAGCTCAGTTCATTCTGCATGTCTTTCTGCTATTTTAAATTCATATCCCTCTCACTGACAATATTTCGATAATGTTTCAGATGAACTTCCTGTCTTTACTGCACTGTTTATTTATGTTTTTGAGATTATGGTTTATACTGCAATACAATTAGTTGTAAGTCCCCAGAGGAAAATCTTTCCCTTTATTAGATCAGGCTAGATACCGACTCGCATGCTCTCCCTCCCTTCCTTCGCTCCGAACGGAATGAACTGTAATAATAGAGGAGGCAAGAGACTGTTGAACGCTCTCCCTGTGTGTTTTTCCGTCAGTGTAATGATGCTTCTCTGGCAAAGCTCCACAGTGGCAGCGCAGTGAGGAGCAAACTCATTATGTGGGATCGAAAGGGGGGCTACCGCTCACCATGCCATTGATTTTATGTTCATCTTCATCAGGCCAGGTGATGCCCTATCAATCTCCTTTACCAAACGTGTCCCTGTGTTTGACATGTAAATGAATATTCCATGTCCTCCCACCAGGAAGACACTAAAACACATGACCTTGCAGTTAGATACAGCTGAAATCACATCCTCTCCTTCTACGGGAGAGATTTTTTTCTCATTTTCTCACCCCTACAGTATTTCACACACACATCAATTTCCCTCACATCAAGCTATTTCACGCATAAACTGTTCTGCTGAACTTCTAGAGGCCTTCTTAGAATGTGACTCATCCTAAATAGCTGTGCAAAACATTTGACATAATGGTG